CATTACATTACTATTATTACCGAGGAACGTCACATTACCCTGAAAATCACTTTAATTGTTTCTCACAATGGAGGCGCATTCATCTGCGTCATTAAGATATATTATTATAGATCAGCAAAGTATGTAGGCGTAATCCTATATTCAAACCTGTCTTTGAAATTTAATATGGAAAATTCTTCCCAAACATTAACAGTTTGCAGCTGATTGTAGTACATCTACCAAGAATCCTCAGGATATATTTCCGCATACCCAAATACACCTCTTGGTGGTCCTTTATGTTACATCCTCTTCAAAGTTTTTTTAGCGCATCTAATCAATTCGCAACACTGTGCCACATTGCCCCTGTGTTAACATTCATAAACGCCAAAACATAGTTTTTTGTAAAACAAAACATTGTTTGGCGAATATTTCGCTACTAACTCCATCTTTCCATTGTTGCATCCACGTTATTCTAGTTACAACAACATGGTCGAACATTCACATCGACCATTTAGTACATTCGCCTAACACGATGACATGTACGACTGTTGGGTTGTGTGTGTCCATTTGTGTTGACCCCATTTTTAGATGAATGTTGCTGCTGGATCTAATGCCAAAAGTAAAAAGTGATTTAACTTTTTTAAGCTCGTATCGTCAGGCCAGCTCGGCTGGCGTTGAGGAGAAGGGCCCAACAGTGATATTGCTTCGATGATAACAGTAACTCGTGTGAATGTTTGATGTTCCTGAGTGAAACAAAGCGAGTGCATGAGTGTTAGTGACCGCGGGGATTTCAGCAATCTCATAAAAGTTCACTAAAAGTGAATAATAAAATCTTTGTTCTCCTCGCCAAACGAGAATTTCGTTGAATAACATTACAGTCCACTTCAAATGTTTCAAAGCTGTGCAAAAAGAAAACTGAAACAATTGAGAATATGAGTTTTATGAATAATCAATTGAAGCATTCTTCATAGGGGCTCATCAAGGGCAAAGATAGAGGGAATATTCGCGAGCTACCTATGTGTTTGAATCTAGGAAATAATGGGAAATAATTATATAACATTTGGGTATTTTCAATGCCGATGTCGTAATTGATTATTAATTTGCCACAGAAATATTGCGAATTAAATAATGATAATCTCGAATTTTAATATATATTTTGTTTAACGTTTGAAATTTGTGTACATCCATACTTATTCTTAACATAAAGGCTTGAATAAATGTACTTTTAGCATTGATTCGAGAAAGACAAAATGTTCGGCTTTAAACGACAAACAATAAATCACGTGCCAAAATCAATACTATTTCAGTAGAACCACATTTGTGTTGATCCTCACTGTATGTATTTATGTAGTAAAACAATAAATGTTGTAGTTATACTTAGTGTTAATGTTTCCCTTTGCCATAGTCATTTTAGCTGTACAAATATGAAATTATTTTGAAGCCGGAACGGCCTTTGTCCAAAATAATAAAACCCCACCGGAAGAAATCAAGTTTCGTTTCAAATATTTTTTTTTACATTTTCAATTTTATAAATACTCATAAATAAACAAAAACAAATTCATATTGCGGGTGTTGTGTTGAATTTTACCATTTGAAATAATGTAGAGGAATTCTCGACTTCTTCAGCCTCAATCCTGCAATGCCACTTCTGGGGTCTTTTCTCCACTTCCTTTGTTTTTCAAACGGAAAACTACATAACCGTTATTTATGACCGCAATGACTTGTCCCAACAAATGGAACAACCGCACACAAAAAATTACGACGAAATTTAGCTCTGGTCCCTAGCCTGCCTTCATCTACGTCTAGTTTTTGCCTCTTCTTATTCTTCGTGGTATCCTACCAAGTACTGGCAAGCGGGCACACACCCAATCACAACACGTATATTTCGAGCTGAGGATTGGTATTCTTAGTACATATTTATCGTTATAATGAGAGTTTATATTTTGTTCCATGGGGAGCTCTTTTCTCGCAAATTTGAAGTTCCGTCTGCCTATGCACGAGGCAACGCTATGTACGGTGTTTTTGGCGGCATTGTTTTGGATCCTTCGTTTCTGTTTTCCTAGTTCTAGTTTGAGGGATTTCTTTACGTTTTCTGAGTTTGTATATTGTGTCGCTTGTCGTTTAGTTCGTTGGTTCCCTGTTTGTCTGCCGGCCTGTTTGCTTGCTTGCCTGCTTTGGCGTTTAGCTCGCTTTGCACAGTTGCTTTCTGTTCTTAATAGTTCTTATGAATGGAAATATTCTCTCGAGTATAATATTGTGTCCATAACTGTGGAAGTATCAAAGGATTTTCATGTCATTTGTACTGAAAGTCACTTTGAAATGGCATTGTTTGAATTGCAACCATAACAACACAACAAACGGGGCGGCGTACGTACGGAAGGAACCAACAAACGTTCGAAAAAACTACCAACTTAAATTAAAGACAACTACGAGCACAGTGATTTCTGGTCTAATTCCAAGAATATATTTTAAGGTTTTCTAATAATGAGGATAGAGTGTATGTTGTTTTTAAGGGAAATTAGGCTCCATCAAACGCACTTTTCTGGAACAAATTTATGTACAAAATTGGAATGTAATATTAAAACAGGTTCGGCCGGACCTTCCATCCACCATATTGAGAACTTAAAGCTGTACAAATAAGAAAAAGTTGGTGTTACCGCATATAATTCAATTTTCTGTTCATTGTCTTTGCGTGATTTCAAAGAAATTTGACACAAAATTTTCTAAACTAATTTTGATTGAATATGAAAATTTTATTACTGCCGCACTGTGGTTCAGAACAGTTTTTTTCCTGACCACATTTTCAACGGATAAAGATAACATGACAACATACACAGCTTCCCGGCGAATACAAAAAAAAATTGTTTTTTTTTTTGGTTTTTTTTATATATATTGCATCAACATATGAGTTTTACATCTTTTCTATGGCCAAACGACATTAAATAAATGTTAATTAAAAGAAAAATAAATTATATATGTACATATAATAAATTAAAAAAAAATAAACACGAAAAACTTAATTTTTTTGAAAGGTAGATTTCACACCCAAAGAGAACATAAAATATCACACTAGAATGGAAAAAAATAGGGTTTGGCAGGAAAATCGATCAATTTTCAATGGCTTGGACCAATGTGCAATGGTGTTCCTTTTGGTAAATGTAAGTGCAAGTGATGTTTGCTGTAATTGTTGTTACTATTGCTGTAGCATTTAAATAATTATTTATATACTGTATAAACATTGCTGGTGTCGTATTAACCATCAACTGTTCCTTTAGAAATACTATTTTATTTTAGAGATGAAAATGTTGTTGCTTTAACTGTGATTTCGGAAAAATAATATTTAATTTTCTGATGAAATTTACAAATAAAATATTTTTTATGTAAACAATTTTTTTGCATGTACTATGGAATCGTCAAAATTATATGTATTGACATGAACAACTTTTAGTTCCGAAACTACGAAAATTTGCCTAAAACTATAGGATTGTACGCATCAGTTAAATTCTATGGAAATGACATCAATTGTCATATAATATACGTTTAAGCTCATTTTTATGTATACATGGATGCATTTGAAGGAATGTCTTTAATTCTATATATGTATGTTTTTTGTCATACTGTATAGTAATTCAATTTGTTTTTGCCTTCAAAACTAAATTAAAAATTCACATTATAACTCAACAAGTCTATATTCTACAATCTCTGTCATCATATACCATTCCCAATGCCCACGACAAATCCCATCATAGCGTGAGCCGCATGACATAAATCACTTTGGAATAGAAGAGAATGATAGTTTTAAAACTTGGCGATTTTAAAAAATTTATTACCTCGAAGTCATTTATTGATTTCATATGTTTTCACTTTATTTAGATACGAGATAAGAAATAGTTGGTGGTGTTAGTTTGTATCACTCAACTGTGCGAATGAAGTGATAAGCATAACATACATACTTACATATATAAAATTGAATTAAAATACAATTATTTCAATGTTTATGGGTTTTCTAATATGGATATGACAACATTTTTAAATAAAACGAAAACTGTTTGAGATGCTTTATCGGATTTAATTCTAGATTCAGCTCTCTAACGAAACCACAGCCAAGGGAACGGGCATGGAATAATTAGCGGTGAAAGAAGACCCTGTTGAGCTTGTTGAGCGGTTGTTTCATAAATGTGAAAAAACAATAACAATGAATGTGAGCAGGTAGGTAATCATACTTGTAAACTGGTAATTGCTAATTATATAATTCCTAGACACTGAAGGTCTTAATTTTTGCCTCTATACAATTCCTAGACACTGAAGGTACTAATTTTTGTTCTATTTTTAAAAATAATTTATTGTCACAGCGAGATAATAACTCCTTACATCTTCTTTATTCCGTTCTCTCTTTCTTGTATTCTTCTTTTTTCTTAGTGATCGTTATTTAGTTCTTCTGTATACCGTCATCGATCCGTCTGAGAAATGCCAATATTAAACATACAAAAACAGGTAGGTCTTTGGAAACTACTTTACTACGGTGAGTTAAATAAGTATATTGGATTCATAACCCAGTGTGGTTTCTTAAGCGAATAAAGCTAAATTTGTAAACTGAAAACTACCTCTTTCAATTTTTATAACGTCACTAGAAATGTTCTGGCAAGAATATCCTAGTAACCTTGGAAACTGTAACACACATCATGATTTTTGGACTTTTGATGCTAGTAGAATGCTATATATCTGTTTTTTTATTTTTCAAAATGTTACTGGTCATCACAGTTTTTGAATTATAATACCTAAGGCGTTTGTCACCCAAAACAAACAATGACCTCTCCCATTTGATACATACTTCTACTTCCAGTATGTACGTGTACAAATCACGCGATAACTAATATACAATAAATTGAAATTAATATTTTTAACATTATTTTAAAGTAAATATCATTTACTTTTAATTAATTTCTTAAGTGGTTGATTCAAACATTTTTATGGTATAAAAACACAATTGAACGGGAGGCTCATTTCAGTATGTTTTTAAAATGTCGCCGATGAAGTTGATAGTTGTTCTTATAGTATTGGCAACGACTCTGGTCAACGCTAAGGACTGGTGGGAAAATGGAAATTTCTATCAAGTTTACCCGCGTTCATTTCGGGACAGTGACGGTGATGGCATTGGTGATTTGAATGGCGTTACTGAAAAACTTGAATACCTCAAAAATATCGGATTTACCGGTATATGGCTGTCTCCTATTTTTAAATCGCCCATGGTGGACTTTGGATACGATATCTCGGATTTTTATGCCATTCATCCGGAATATGGTACTATGGAGGACTTTAAAAACCTTATAAAAAGAGCAAAGGAAGTGGGCATAAGGGTGATATTAGATTTTGTTCCCAACCATACCAGTGATGAGTGCGAGTGGTTTCAAAAGTCTGTTAATCGCACCGAAGGCTATGAGGATTTTTATGTTTGGCACAAAGGCAAAGTAGATGCTCAGGGTCAGCGACAGCCGCCCAGCAATTGGAAGAGCGCCTTCCGTTATAGTGCGTGGGAGTGGAATGACGAGAGACAACAGTACTACCTCCATCAGTTCTCCATTAAGCAGGCAGACTTGAATTTTCGCAACCCCTTAGTGGTGGCAAAAATGAAGGAAGTCATGAGGTATTGGTTGGATATGGGTATTTCAGGCTTTCGAATTGACGCCTTGCCATTTATGTTCGAGAAGGGCCCCGATGAAAATGGGAATTTTCCAGATGAACCGGTCATTGACGATGTTAGTATTTGCCCAGATCCTGAAGACTGGTGCCACTTGAATCATACCTACACTCAAAATCAACCGGAGTCCATAGAAATGGTATACCAGTGGAGAGAACTGACTGAAGAATACAAAAAGGAGCATGGAGGCGGCACTCGTCTTCTTCTGACTGAAGCATACACAACCTTCGAAAATTTGATGCTTTACTATGGGAATGGCATTCGCAACGGTTCCATGATACCCTTCAACTTCTATTTTATGCAAAATCTTTTGAAGAACTCGACAGCGGCTGAAATAAAAGATAATATTCTGAGATGGATGGACAAAATGCCAAAAGATGTATTGGCAAATTGGGTATTGGGCAATCATGATAATCCGCGATACTCAACACGTTTGGGCGAAGGTCGTATGGACTTGTTTACAATTTTGTTACAAACACTACCGGGAAATGCAGTCACGTACTATGTGTGTATTTTTATATTCGCAAATATTACGATGCGCTAACATTATTTGTTATATGTATGTTACAGGGTGAAGAAATTGGAATGGTCAACGGTAATGTGACTTGGGAGGAAACTGTCGATACCCAAGGATGCAGTTCTAGTCCCGAAACGTATGAAAGCTATTCACGGGACCCGGAAAGAACGCCCTATCAGTGGGATGCTTCAAACAAGGCCGGATTTACCCGCGGCGATCAAACATGGCTGCCAGTTGCTGCCAATTACAGGGAAAGCAATGCCCTGAGTCAATCACGAACCCCCCGCAGTCACTTGCAATTGTTTAAAACATTGATTAGATTGCGGCAGGAACCCTCCATGCAAGACGGTCCACTTGAGATAAAATCCATACTCGATGACATTCTTATCTACTCCCGGTAAGTACAAATTGCCACTTACCGTTATTGTCCCACAAGTGGACTCACTCACATTGCTAACATTAATTCATAGGCAACAACCGAACAGCGACATGTACGTCATTGTTTTGAATTTGAGCAATAGAACGCAAACCTTCAACGTGAATGACCACTTCAAAATTGGTAGCAAGGCCGAAGTGATTTGCTCGTCCCTGCAATCGAAACACATCGAGGGGTAAGTTTAGCGAAAAAAAACAAATACAACAAATCAAGTAAATATGCCACGCACGTCCATGTGTATGCACGTGCACACAAGTGGGTATTCCTTCCGACTAACACTTGGCTTTTGTAAATTTTATGGTTTAGATTGAGTCCTTGGTTAGTTAGCAATAACCACAAATTGGGAGTTCAGTTTTAGGTTTTAAATGTTATTGATTTTTTGTCGAAATTGGTTTCGGTATAGTTTACAAAAAGACTGAAATAGGTATGCATGTATAATTTTATATTAATACTAGCAGGACCCGTGGCGCTTCGCTGCCCCTGAATTTTGAATTTTTATATGCTCGTTTTAACAATACAGAAATGTGTGAAATATATATGCGTTCTCTTGTCTTCCTATTGGCAACTGACTGATATTTATATAGAAGTTATTGAATTTTTCGCTGCTTTCTGTATTGGTAGTAATTCTTGTTTCCTTTGAAACTAAGAAAAATATGTTTTTCATAAATTTTACACAAATTTTATTTCGTTATATGTATGTGTATGAAAATGAAGAGAAGACGGTTAGTATAATTAATGAACTGGTCGTTATTGTCAGTAAAGATAAGTACACGTAATAGGGTAAATAACTAATTTGCACATCTTTATATCCCACTATCCGACATATAACGTGTTTTTCAGGGTGTTAGGGTCTTCACTTCAAATATTATGTTCAATGAACTTATTCTCAATTAGTCCCAAACGTGCCATTTTTTTATATATGACCAACTCTAATATTCGATATTAGGCATTGACATTTTTTCTATAAGAATAATATTGTTTTGGTATTTTTTTTTATTCAAATAAAATTTTTCACAAACTGACAAAAATGAAAAAAAAAATATCAATTATTTTTTTCTATTTGCATTTCAATACACATACTACATACATATGTATGTAAATATTTTGTATTTTATATATTTTAAAAAATATCCTCAACGTTCCAAAATCTTCGGATGAAGCGCAATTGCAGCCATCTTTCTGAAACAAATTTGAAAGTAGCTACATGCTACTAACATACATACATACAAACATATGTATGTATATATTTTTAGAAATATGCTTATTTTTGATGATATTACACCGCATCCACGCGAATTTTTAGGAGTTTATCTAACCTATGTTACTTCCATCGTTTGACGTACTCTTGGTAAAACTTGTTCAGTGGTTCTTAAGCCCACAAAGGATATGCTTTCGATTTTCTATATACATGTGTATAGATAGGAATGCAATGAGGAGTGCATTTTCCTGTTAAATGGATTATGCGTACTTACGCCCACGTTACTCAGACATATTTTGAAGTCGGTATCTGTAACCTTTCTTAGGATATACACAAATTACATGTTCATAATTTCTGAGGCATGAGTACGTTCGATGCTATAACTCCGCAAACACGCCGAATCTTAGAGGTTTATATAACCTATGTTTTTCCCAGGACATGTCATGACATTCTGTGAAAGTCTCAGTAAAATCTGTCCAGCGATTTTTGAGTCCACAAACGAAATGCTTTCTGTTTTCAATATGCAGATTTTGAAAATGCAGCAGAAAATGTACTTTCCGTTGATCATACCAAGCTCGTTTTTGTATGGATGGTGTGTATTTACACCTACATTATTCACACAAATTTTTAAGCCGGTATCTGTAACCGTTCTTAAGATATACGCATATTACATGTTCCGAAATTTTGAGGTTTGTTTAATATTGACGCTATAACTCTGCATCCACGCGGAATTTTAGAAGTTTAGGTAGCCTATGTTACTTTCAGGGCATGTCATGACATACAGTGTAAATATCATTAACATCTGTTCAGCGGTTTTAGCGTCTATCGGGAACATACACACAAACAAACAAACAAATTTTTTTCTATTTTATATATATAGATTCACTCATAATCAATATTTAGACAACAACCTGTAAAAATTACTGATATGAGTAAAAAAACACAAAAATGTGTATTTTTTATATTTAAAATTAGAAAATGTTTGCAGCACAAATTTGCTCAAACTGCATTTTTAAGATAAACAACAATTAGTAACAATTTGTAGAAATTCTTAAAATGATAAAGTACGCGAATAGACTATTTGTCATTGTAAAATACAAGGTAACAGCAAGTTTTGTGGTGCAAGAATCTGAAACAACTAACATATGGAAACTTTTGTCAAATAATGAAAATGTCACTCGGAAAGTCAGAAAAAATATGAAAAAATAAGGATAGTAGTCTATATAAATCGATCTCCAATCACTATTATAACTGCAAATAATAAAGTTTATCGGTAATGTGTAAAATATTAATACACAGTATTGCTCCAAATAATTCTACTGAATTGTCATAATCAATACATTTTTTTAATATTTCTTTTTAGGCAAGTTGTGGACGCTACCAAGTTTGAAGCTGAAGCCGAAGTTGGCGTTGTCTTGGTTAACATTAATTAGTTCTTTGTAAATATAGAATTTATAATATGTTACTACATTGAATATATTGCTGCTAAAACTTATTATTATGGTTTGTTATTTTGACATTGAATAGTTTCATTTTAACAGTACTTATACTACATTGGTATATGAACTTTCTTAACACTAAAGTCAATAGCCGGGTACATTTGTACATTTCACATAGAGGAACTTCGGATAATGTGCGCTATGCATCTAATGTGAGCCACACTCATATTTTACAAAATGCTTCAAATATGACACCGCAGCCTTGATATATGTTTTCCTAATTTGTGAAGACAAACATCTAACATGATTTTGAATATATAATTGGAACTTTGAAAATTTAGTTAAGATATGATTGATATCTGAGATTTGAAAATGTTTTTACACACACAAGAATCAAACAATTTGTTGTTGTCAAATATAAAGAAGTTATATGGTTGTTTATTTTCTACAACAGAAATTTACGTTTAGCTGGAATTACAATCGGTGATTTTTAGGGTTTTTTTTTTATTTTTTAAGCCGAAAAACATTTTTAAATAAAACAAGTAAAAAAGTGTCAGTCGGTGTTGCCGACAGATATATACCCCAGCCTATCGATTGCAGAGGTTTTCGGAATTACACACAGATTTTATTATTAGCTTTATATAAAAAATATATTTTTATCAAAGAGGTTTTGAATTTAATGTTAATAAAGTTTTATAAAATATTGGCCATTTGTGATGGAGGTAACGGAAGGAGTGGACTACTGGGTCCCATCTTCGGACTTGATATAGATTGGTAAAGATAATAGGTTGTGCAAGGTTTGGTTGAAATATGACATTCCATTCGCTGATATCGCATTTAAATATTGAAAATTTTGACCATTCGTGGGGGAGGTACCAGAAGGAGTGGACAAATGGTTTCCATCTTCGGAATTAATTTAGATTTCGTAAATATAATGGGTTGTGCAAAGTTTGGTTAACATCGGATATTCCATTCGCCTGATATTGGATTTATAAATATTGAAGATTTTGACCATCTGTGGGGGAGGTACCAGAAAGAGTGGAGTGGGCCGAAGAAATATAAAATAAACTAAGTTTGAAATATATATGTGGAAAGTTTGAATGAAATCGGTTGCTGCCTTCGATAGTTATCGTGCGCACCAGCCAGACAGACAGACAACGGACGGACGGACATGTGTAAATCGACTCCAAATGTTCTGTAACGGATTTGGTCCAAAGAAACATAGGGTCTAAAACCAATACTTCGATGAGGCACATTTTCACCGTATCATTAGCCATAAAGCTGAGGATATAAAAATCAAAGTCGAGTAATGTGGACCACTACTTCTTTTTATAGGAAACCAATTATTTTTATAGGAACCACTTATTTTTATAGGAAACCAATTTAGGTATTTCTTAACTTGTCTGCATTTCTAAACACCTGGACCATAAAGTCGAGGTGTACAAGGACATGAGATAGACACATTGTTCCTATTGAAAACCAGAATATTTCGATTTCACGTTTATTGGGTATGAAATAATCAACGAGTGTCCGATTAAGATTTGCTTTAAATCGATTTACGTAATTATGTCCCATTCTCTATCTATCCAAATAAAGAGTTACAGAATGAAATGTTTATGGATTGATTTAAGTCGGTTCACATTTAGATATAGATCACATATTTAAGTTCATCCAATTTCAACAATGTGACTTCTTTTAGAATGCAAGGGTATCATATAGTCGGCCCTGTCCGACATTACTACTTTCCTTACTGGTTTTTATATGGTAAATGGTTAAACAAAAAATTTGGAAGAACTTTTCTCAATTGCAACTGAGATTTCATTTTAATAAATCTTATTTTCATAAATTCAAACTTCCGCACTGAATTCTTAGCTCTACTTTTTTAGAAAATAAGGTATTACCTTTATGCGAGAGTCACTGCAAACCTACACTCTTATTTACAGTTTTCGTCATGGAGGGTTTCAACACACCTTAAACGTTTGAAGCCAATTAAGTACCCATTTGGAATTTTATAATTATATTTATTAAATTAAATATTTGCAATATGATTATGAAATATATTGTACGATTTAATCAGAATTTAATCACTTCACATGGGTTTACGTAAAATATCTTCGAATTTGGGATATACACCAGTATCTGGTATTAAATGTGCACATCGTGACATTATGTGAAAGGTAATATTGAATATTGCATCCAATGCAATTACATATTTGATTCATATACGCCCAGTTACATATCATAAATAAAATATTTGGAACATTAATGCACATTATATGGTATCTATGGGACACCCTTTCGTATGTGTTAAATGTGTCCTTTATGGTATATGGGGAATATGAAAATCTTTAGAGTAGAGAACCAAGCAGGGAGCGAAGAATGATTAAAATGCGATCTTTCTCACGAATGCTCACGGCGAGAATTTGAATGTTTTCAATTTATCGCGAATGATAAAGTTACAATGAATGTACAAGCATTTGCAATCTCTCGCGAATGTTCGATCACGCGAACAAAAACGATCACGAATGATAAAATTTCGCTGCAAGCGTCGTAGATTCGTT